ATCCACAGCTCCCATCATCCCTTCTCTTCCCACCATCCACAGCTCCCATCATCCCTTCTCTTCCCACCGTCCACAGCTCCCATCATCCCTTCTCTTCCCATTATTCACAGCTCCCTTCATCCTGTCCCCCCATTCCATTCCACCACTCTTCCATCTTTCTCTGACTCTGCCCATTGTCTCTCTCTCTGTCTGTCCTGCCCCATGTTTCCCCAACGTTTGCACCTCCCTAACCAGCTAATCTGGCACATGACCTCTCAGACCACAGAGTGTGGATAGATTCATTTTAACTTTGTTTCAATTGTTTAATCAGAGTGCTTTTGGTGCCATTAAAAAAAAGGATTAAATTGGAACAAAGCATTTGACAATTCTATGCCTGAATCATTTATTTTTTTTAAAAAAAGTTTTTGTGGGTGTTAATAACTTTGCAATAAACCAAAATCAAATGGAGATTAAGATCACTCTGGCTGGCAGGTTTGAAGGACAGCGCTAGATCCTCATGTGTTTCTGGGTGCCCAGATTGAGGGCTGATGGCCAAACTCCAAAAATTGTCATTTCCATTTTCGTTTAGCCTCATGAGGTGAAGCAGGTGTTTCACATGCTATCTCTGGATGGGTTTAAGCTCTGTTGGATGAGACTTAGCAGTGTTTCATACCAAATATTTACAACATGCGCTGCATTAAGCATGATGCAGACAGAGGACAGAAACGTCAATGTAACTTCTCCTCCTTACCATAGTTGCCACTGTAACCCCCCGCCCAACGTCCTTCGATGGCACACTCTCGTCTTCATTTCCAAAGCCAATGAGTGAATGAAGGGAAACTGTTAGGTGTGTGAATCCCTCCCCACACAAACCAAACCCAGGCTGCTTTATTAATTGGAGATCTGAGGATTTTTAACGCTGTGTTCTCTCCTCTGTCACCCTCTGCACTGTGCCGATGCATGGAGCGAAAGAGAGAAGGGGACAAGCACGAAGTGCCTTTCCTTGGGTTTCCCACTTCAACTCCCACGCCCCCTCCCCCCAACCACCACCACCTTCCTGTGACTTGTTGCTATCATATCCGTTTTGTAATGGCTTGTTAAACTTCGAATGATGGAAAGGTTTCCTTCTCACTGTTTCCCCACCCAGTGCTGTGTATGGACACCCTCGTGGGAATATAACTTTGGCTAGTTTCAGATGTTGGCTGCAGATTGGGCTTGAGCTTGGGATTTGAACCCTGTGACCTCTGGGTGAGAGTCACAACACACAGTGGTGTAAACTCCAAACTCCTTTCCGTTTAATTCAACAGCAGGCCGGAGATCGAGCAGTTTTAATTCCTGCCTGTCACTCCTGAAGACTGTCACTGCCCTGAGCTCAGGGTGTCCATTTTGTGTTGGCCTGAATTTCAAAGTCAGTCAGCAAAGATCGGCCATCTTTTGCCTTTAGCTTAGAGGGCGAAGCTGCACTTGCCAGACCCCAGAGCTCCCACTGAGTAGAAAATGCTCTGTACTCGGTCAGAAGGTTGTGGGTTCAAGACCTGTCCTGGAGTCTTGATCCCAAAACCCAGGCTGAGACTCTCGAACTGAGGGAGCGCTGCACTGTCAAGAGGGGAGGTCTTTCCAATAAGAGGCAAGTCCCTCATGGATTGATGTAATATGTCCAATGACACCATCTTGAAGAAGAGAAGGAGTGTTCTCCCTGATGTCCTGCACCAACGTTTAACCCCCAATCAACATCACTCAAGCAGATGATCTGGTTATAATTGTGTAGCTCTTTGTGGGACATTGATTGGCTGCTGCATTTCTAACAATACAGCACTGAGTACAGAAGTGCTCAATTGGTTATAAATTGCCTTTGGAGCATCTGAGGTCATGAAAGGCGCAATACAAATGCGAATCTTAGTTGGATCTTCACCTCCTATTAGCTCCAAGTAGTTCTAACCTAAGCTCCTGGGTACTGGGAGCAGTGAACCTAGTCCTTTACTGCAGCCTCGAACCAACAACACCAGTTCAGAAGCTAGGTCAGATTTACCTGAGACCTGAGATGGTGATGGGAATGCAATCAGGAAGATGAAGAAAGAACGGGACAGTTCTCTCCTTACCTGCAGTCAGTTTATTCTCATTATTGTAGCTCCACAATTGCCTACGTTGAAATCCATTTGGCATAGGTTTGGCCACAGAACTCAATCTGCTTAAACTTCTGTGAGTTGACACTTTCACATCCACTGTGTGGTGTGACACCAATTTTATGTCAGTGACGAACCTAGCCATGTGGTTTTCTAATCCAATTCTAAATCACTAATCAATATGGTGAATGTTTGAGGAAAAGTTGTAACTCCTTAAAACTGTGACTAACACTCAATAAACACTAGCAGTGCAGGAAGTCATTATTCCTCCCATAAAATCTGTGCAGCCTTTTCTGTTGGGATATCCTAAAACTAATCCCAAGGTCCTCATCCCCCCCTCCCCTCACCAGACCTTCTCTTCTCTTCCCTCTGTGACTTTACTTCAAAACACTGCATTGTCAGTCAACCCTGCTACAGAAAGCTCAACCTCTTGATGGCATTTGACTCCAGTATTTTGAATTAAACTTTGGATGCAGCCTCTTAGTCAGTTGCCTCGAAACAAGCGGCGGAGTTGAATTGAAACACTTTGGAAAGTCTTCCGTTAAAGTCTTACTTTTCCCCAAAGTTTAATTGGGGGTGCCAAGTCCAGTTCCTGCCCCATTGAGCCGTGAAATGTTGATGAGGAGCCTCCGGTTTCTGTTAGCTGTGGAATACCTTGGCCTTCTGCCATTCCCACTGTAGGGAAGTGCCTGGTGAGGTAGATGGGGAGGAAAGGTGTCTCCCCGCCACCCTCGCACCCTCACACCCCCCATTTCCCTGAGCATTGCCATTAAATTGCTTTCCAGCACCTTGACTTGGAGCCAAAGTGGTAGAGGTCTAGGGTCAAGTCAGCTTACCTTGATAACGTTGCCTCAGTTTGGGTTTCTGACCTTGGGAGGAGGGGGTTAGAAGACGAGAAGGAGGAAGGGTAGAGGTGTTCGTGAGGGGTTGGGGGTGTTTTAACAAAAAAAGAGAGAGGCACTTCAACACAGAATCAAAACGATCCTCGAGCCCTCTGGGTTTGGCATCTTGGTTCATCCTCCATTGTGTTGATCCTCTCAGGATCTCTGGGTGGTCTCTCAGATCTGCCAGCTGGAATATAATCACGCGAGCTACATGACTCTGTCGGTGGGTGTGTGAGTAGTTATGTTTTTTTTTGTTGTTGTTCTTTTTCTCGATTGGTTGGGGCCGCTGTGAGAGAGTGTTTCTGAGACAGTGTACCCCCGTCTCTCTTACACTCGGACCTGCGCACCTCCATCTCAAACACTCTTCTGAGCGTGCTGAGCAGGAAGGTTTGTCCTTGCCTATTAATCCTGTCAATGTGAAGCTACCTACGTTAGTTGCATGTCGCTTGTTCTTTACATAAGACACGCCGCACACAAAATCAAAAAAAAAGGAAACGAGAAATCCATATCTACTCCGAAGAAATGTTGTCCTATTTGTTTTCCATTCAGTTTTCACACCTGTTTCTTTGAATCTTTTCTCTCCTCCAGTTTTCTGTCTGTGATACGCAATGCCTCCAGTTTCATAAACATATCCCCCACTCTCCTCTGCCTGTGTCTCCTCTTCTTTAGTTCTGTATGTTTTTACTTTGTGTGACAATGGACCGGGAGTTGCATGCTTGTATATTCGATGTGTTCTCTTCAACCGTCAGTGTTGCTGGATCTGCTCAGAGATAACACAGGGTACTCCACTTGGCCCATCGAGTCCACTCTAGCTCTCTTCTCGGTTGGACAGAATTGCCTGTGACCCTTTTCCCAGGTTGGTTCCCCACTCCCCACCACCTCCCCTTGCCCAAAGGACCTGAGTTCCCATTTTGCTGAGGCTGGGACCCGTCGTCAGTCTCCATTTGAGTTGACACTTCACTCTGTAATAGTTACG